CCTCCCCACGCTACTTACAAACATAAGAGCCCTTTTAGATTTGGCCAAAGCCATATTAAGTCCAGTCTTCTGCAGCCGGTCCAGATTCCTGTAAGAAGCCCACGAGTAGACTCTGAGTGCAATGGTATCCTCTTATTTGTGTTCCCCAGTAAAGGCACATTGTACTAGTAGACACATTCCCTTTGTTACTGGTGGAAACATAGCGCCATCATGACTACTTGCTGCTGCTATCAGTAGTGTGTATTTTTTTATTTTTTAGACTACATTTCCCATAATTTTGTTTTCCACCTGCAGGACCCAGACCTTGCAGACACCTAAATCGTAGTCACCTGTAAAGAAGAACCCCCTGCCAGGTTTCATTTCTGATAAGCCTAATTTCCTGATTGAAAAAGAAGCTGCCCTAATAGTTGCTGGGAAGTTTCCTTTTCATACAGGAAGTTGAGAGCATCAAGGCATGAAGTCTAAAAACTGGGCCTTCTCTCCAGCACAGCTTCAGTGTTTTGGGTCCTGCAGGTTAGACTCTCAGAAAGGAGAATTATGAGATTTGGAATCCAAAAAATCCAAAATATGCATCTTTAGTAATACCCTCATCCTCCTAGAATGTGTCAAATCCCTCCTAAACCTAGCTAAGTTGGTAGCCATTACCACATTGTGTTATAACAGATTTAATAAGCCAATGGTGCTCTGTTTGAAGATGCCCCTTTTATCCTTTCCTTTGATCTTCTTTCCCTTTGTCTTGATTTTTGATGCTCTTTTACTCATGTGCATCTTGAACTATCACAAGTGTCCACTGACATTCACAGATCAGATGCACAATGTACTGCTCATACCTTACTTTGCTTATGGGAAATCCAGCAAGCTGCAGCCTTTCTCCTCCGTAATAAATAGTCTTGCTTGCTTGGCTGATAGCTTGCTGTGACAGTCAGGCGAAACTTTCCTAGTTGTTCTGCCTTTTTCACAATCATCTTTCAAAAGCCCTAAGCAAGTGGTTATACACATGCTTGGGATAATACCAATATGTCAATCTAAGGTAACATTATTGTAGAAGACCTATCTTGTAACAATAAAAAGCACTCTCCATTTCAACGAAAAATGCAGAATTTCCAGTATATGAGGCTGTGAAGACTTTACGATGAGGGCACTTAATAGGCATTTAAATCATTTGAATGTCACATTAATTAATATGCATCGTTCCCTAGGGTAATGAGGGGATTCTCACTGCTGCTGAACATGCCACTTGTCATGTTACAATGTGACACAGATCATGCATGCCTGAGAGCTTTTCCATTTCCTGATTTCATTACACTTTTCCTTCGTTGAAAAGCTAAGGATATGTAGGTGTAATTCCGATGTAGAACAAGGGAAAAGTGGTCCGATTTCCTTCTCAGGTGTGATTAAAAACTGAGGCAAAAGCGTGCTTGTCATATAAAAATTATACGTGACAGCACCTAGAGCTGTGACTTCCCATGGACTTTCCTATTCGTGCCTGTGTCCTCTGCCTTATACTGTGTGTAATTAATTCTGTATCAAATCGTGTACATATTTTATTCCACCTAAATTTCCTTCCTGCTTTTTTGGATCCATAACAAAAACAAATTAATAAAGCATGGTCATCATTTTAAGGCGCTCTTGGAGGCTATAAATCTGAGCAATTCAACAAAAGTTATTGCTTTTTCTTGTGCTGAAAATAAGTTCACTGTAGCAAATTCACCCTAAGGAAATAGAATTTCATTATACTGGATTTTTTTTATTTAGCTGGGGGTCAGATTACTTCTTTGCTATCTTTGCCAAGTATGGAGAGAATCTTCTCTTCCTATATCATTTGTCCAAGTAGACAGTTATTTTTCTTTAGATTCATTGCTTCTTCCGTGTTCCTCTTCATCTTTTCCCCTCCCAACATTTGTCTGTCAGGGAGTAATGAATGGCAAAGCAAACATGGCTATTTCTCTAGCTGTTCAGCAAGCTTATGTTCATTCTTATTGGCTTAGATTGCAGTGCTTTAGTTTTTCTGTTTCAGAAAACTGTATTTAACTCTGATGAAACAGGCTAAAGGGGTCATCTACTGCCCTACTCTTTCACCTTGGGAACAAAATTCCTCTACCACATTTAAACATGGTTTAACGTTGGTTTCCAGTGGTGGAACAGGTCTCTGTTGAGCCTTAATCATTTTTAATATAGCTGACCATTGTTCCAGAGTGGAATCTGCTGCAGAAAGGCAAGGATGACAAAAATACAGTGGTACCTCACAAGACGATGACCCTGCTAAATGACGAATCCGTATAACAATGACTTTTTGCGATCGCTATAGCGATTTGCAAAACAGTCATTCTAATGGGGGATTTTCGCTGGACATGCTTTGCGAACCATTTGTTCACAAGATGATGATGTTTACAGCTGATCATCAGCTTCGCAAAATGGCTGCCCTGTGTTTTCCGGACCCATGCTTCACAGGACAGCCATTTTTACAGCTGATCGGCACTCGCAAAATGGCTTCCCTGTGGGCAATCTTCACTGGACGACGAGGTATTTTCCCCATTGGAACACATTAAAACGTGTTTCAATGTATTCCAATGGGGAAACGGATTTCGCATGATGAGGATTTCACTATACAGCGATTTCCGTGGGACGGATTATCGTTGTCATGCGGGGCACCACTGTAGCAGCTTGTCAATTTTGAATCCATTCACTGTTGCTTTTCTCCAGCGGAGAATTAAAATTCAGAACCTTGAAGCCTCCTGAGTCCTCAAAGTATAACACTTACATGTTTTATTATCCAGTGAAGTGGTATTTGGAAAAGAAACTAGGTTCTTCTGGTATAAACAATTGCAAGACTGTTGTTGCATGCTGTTTCTTTTATCAGTTGAGTGTGTCAATGCCCTTTGGATAGTATTAGTATTTTCCCCACCTTTCCGTTAAGTATTATATACCTCTTGTCAGAAAATGCAAGTGAGATTTAATGATAGAAATGGGAGAGAAAGTGGGAAGAGAAGATATACATAAATTATCTAGGGTGGATTAATGCATTGTAACTTATGCAGCTGGTCTTTGATTGTATTCAAGCTAGTGAAAGCAGTATACTGCGCTATATTCCTGTATATCTTATTTTGCACGACACAGTGTTGCTTGCTAGAGTTGAGGCAGATAGGTAACAATAGAACCTTTATCCTAATTCTTCATCTGGAATCTTTTGGAGCTATTTCATCTTGCAGCCAGAAATATGGTCACTTCCATAATGAAGAACATAACCGTGCACAGATACATAGAACTCTTGCAATAAATAATAAATATGTAGTATACTTATGAGTTCTTCAAACAATCATGGAAAACAAAGGTGTATATAAAGAAACATGTTTGCAGCAAAGACCTTTGCCAGTTCTCCCTGTTTCTTCCCACTGGACAATTAGAAATGGTGAGGTTAGAGATTGATCCAAAGGAATCAGACACTTCAGTTTTAATACAGTGACGATTTCTCTTGTTTGTAAACTCTAATCTACAAACTCGGGGTCCTCCAGGGCATAATGAACATTTAGGAAGAAATGTTATCACTTCGTAACATTTTGTCAGGGTGGACTTTTTAATCTACTGAGCAGATTTTGCTGTTATAATGTACACAACGTACTAACAACTTTGCTACAGTCATGCCCCGCTTTACGATTGCCCCGCATTACGGCGATCCTTTTGCGATCGCAAAACGATGGTCTGAATTGGGGTTTTTCGCTTTGTGATGATCGGTTCCCTCCTTCAGGAACTGATTCTTCGCAAAACAAACGATATAATGAATTTTAATTTAACAAAAAAATAACAAAAAAACAAACAAACAAACAAAAAAATGGCTCCCTGCTGTTTTCTGGGACAGATTCCTCGCTGCACAGGCACTGAAAATGGCCGCTCTGTGGAGGATCTTCACTGGACAGTGAGTTTCCAGCCCATTGGAACGCATTGAAGGGGTTTCAATGCGTTTCAATGGGCTTTTTATTTTTGCATTACGACGTTTTTGTTCTACAGCGATTTCGCTGGAACGAATTAACGTCGTAATGCGAGGCACCACTGTATTAGTATTTCTTATATTGGTCAGTATATAATGATGGCAGTATTTTAGAAAGAGAAATACTGAGGATATTCTCCATTATTTAGGATGCAGGTTCTGTGAAGAAACTAAGAGCTAAACTAGTAGATGCTGCCGGCTCTCTCTTAAGCCAACATTTTCTCTTCCTCTTTAGTGGATGGTTGTAGGCATGGAAATGTGTACAGTGGGGTCTCGACTTACGAACTTAATCCGTATTGGAAGGCAGGTCTCAGGTCGAAAAGTTAGTAAGTCGAATCTTCATTTCCCATAGGAATGCATTGAAAACCATTTAATCCATATCTGCTCTTTTCGTCCATAGAAACTAATGGGAAGCTGCTATTCCGCCTTCTGCCACTAGAGGGGTATATTTTTTTCTTTTTTCCTTTTAACCTAAGATGACTTAGCTTTTAAAAAAAAGGAAAAAAGAGTTCGTAACTCGAATCTAAGTTCGCAAGTCGAGTCCATATATTCCTATGAGAGTGGTTCGTAAGTCGAAACGTTCGTATGTCGAGCTGTTCATAAGTCGAGACCCCACTGTATTTGTGAGGATATCCCATACTGGGTTTTGAAGCCTGATTGATTTTAACTACTTGTATTTTTGACAAATTGCGAAGCCTTCAGCGCTCAGATACCTGTCCTTCCATTAGCATTTCAGGAGTGTTGCTTTTAGATGTCAATCTGGGAAACATTCTTCCATTGAGGGCCATATTCTGTGATGGATGGGGCTGAAATCAGCCACGGGTAGGACAGAGCCAAACCTTTTCCTCTGCATATGCCACCGTCTTTCAGGTACCACCTTCCTTTTCTCTTTCCCTCTCTCTGTCCCCACTACACTGTCCTCAGAGGCCAGATGACTCTTGCAGGCAGTCCAGAGAGATCCATGTCAGATGGCCTTTGATGCCATCCTAGAGCTGCAGATTGCTCATCTTAGTGTACATGTCTAACATCTCAATATATATGACAGGAATTTCTGTGTTTGTTGTGTTTGTGTTTATTTAGGTAGGTTTTGGGGAATTGCCCTTTGATAGCACCGACAACTTCAGCAGCTGTCCTGATGTGTGTTTCCGAGTGGCAAACTACAATTTCTTGTGCCACAAGGTATGTACGTGCATTAACTATAATTACGAGGCTGCCTTCCTGTTCCCGTAAATATTTGTGTTGTAAAGGGGAGAAATGGGAATCTGATATTCATTTTCAGTGCTTTAACCCTGCCGTTGCACTCTGCAAGAAGCACTCAAGGTGGCATACAATGTCTATCTGTCTGTCTGTCTGTCTATATCTACCTACCTACCTACCTACCTACCTACCTACCTACTATCTATCTATCTATCTATCTATCTATCTATCTATCTATCTATCTATCTATCTATCTATCTATCTATCTATCTATCTATCTATCAGAAACTTCTTAAATATACTCTGTATATTAAGCTGAATGGGAGTTCTTCTCTGAATTGTTGAAATGGCTGGATTTGCTTGGCCACTTGCTTGCTTTTATCCCAGAATTATGCCCTAGTCTCAGGCTTGTTTTCTTCTCTGCTTACAGGCCTTCTTCTGTGGGCGCAGTGACTATTTCAAAGCCCTCCTGGAGGATCATTTTTCTGAAAGTGAGGAGCTGAAGACACAGCCCAGTATCCCTGTTGTGACCCTTCATGACATTTCCGAGGACATCTTCATCAGGGTCCTTTATTACATTTACAGTGATGACACAGAGGTGAGGCTTGGCATCTTCCTTTCAGTTGTGGAATGTTTATTGTAGCAAGAATGACTGTGATTCGGGGTAAAACACAAGGCACAGAATTGGCATGGTGCAATTTCAGTGTACCTTTTTGTATTTCCTTGGCAAAGGGCGAGATTGACTTGTGGGCAGAAGCCATCACATTAAAGGTGGCCAGATTCCTTCCTGGTGTCTCAACCAAGGGCTAAAGAACTGTTCTTGCAGAGTTTTCCCTGCCTGTACATAGTATGTTGCAGAAGTGAACTGTCCTTCTGAATGTTGCTTCATTAAACCGTTTCTCCAAGTGTTATTGCCTATGCTCATAAATGTTGACCAGTCTCTTGCTTGCATTTTTCTTCAGGGCAGAAGTAGATTATATTTCATAGCCCTGCAGTGCAACTATCCCTAAATGTCCATGGTAGCTTTCCTGCTCAAAAATGTTTCTTTTAAAGCAGTGTGCTTCTCTATCAGCAAGACTTCGGCTGCACCTGGTTTCTTTTTCTGATGCCAAAGGGAAATGGTCACCTAAGGAGGTCTGTGAGCAGTACAAGACATAGGCCAGTAGAGGGCAGTGCCGATACACAATTCGTGAGCTGGCCAGAGAAAAATCTATTCTGCCGTTTGTGCTGCATTCTGTTGTCGCATTCAGAACAAAGTCATGGTTGCGCTTTTTTATTAGCAGTCCTAAATCCCTGAGCGTAACATGCCTGTGAGGTTACTGAACATGCCAGTGAGAATAGGGCATTTGGTATGCATCCATTCTCACATGCCTCAGTGTAACATGCCTGTGAGGTTACTGAACATGCACTTTGAAACGGCAGCGTGTTTTGCTTAATAAGAACTCTGCAAAACTAAGATGGATGTGAAACTGCAGAATAATGTCCAAGTGTTTATGGATGGTTGCTTTGTTGTGCCTTCCTCTTAATGATACAGAACTGAGTCACTTGAGGTAACGCTGTAGTCATCAAGATCAACTGTCCGCTGTAATTCCTTATGAACACTTGAATAGCAGCGAGCGATGAGTCTGTAGAGAAAGGAGCAGGACAACCAAGGTCCTCTGGTAAGGAGGACTTTTGAGATGAAGCCGTCAGAACGAGATTGGCTTGTCAGCCCTGTTATTGGGGCCTTGAGAAGCAAAGAATCTGTTGCGAACATTGACTTCTGTCTCTACGTCAGCTATCAGAGAGTGACAGGGATGGCTGGAGATGGAAATCTCATCCCCAGGGAAATTGCATCCATGTCACACAGTGAATACATTCCATCCCACTTCACTTATCTCAGAGAAGCAAGGAGTGGTTTTAGAAACAGAAAAATTAGGGACAGGTTGCCCACGCCATTGGATTCTAAGTGTTGGCCGACTATTCCCAAGAGTGACCTTTCTTGATTCTGTCTTCCTAAAAGCCTCATTCCAAACCATGTTTGCTCCCATGTTCTGCTTAAATGAAGGAGGGTAACCTTTCCCCAGAAGTGAACTCAACTGTTATCTTCCAGTCTGTTGCATCTGGAAGGGATTTCATTCTCTTGGGGTCTGGGAGACTGTTCGGTAAAGTGTAGATTGTTATGGGAGCACAGTCCACTCTGGATGACTCTTGGAGGCCGGGTAGCCTCCTTTTTCCCTTTGATCTGCCTTCCTGCAGGGCAAGAATGAAGCTGCCAGCTGAGCCATCTGTCTTTGTTTTCCTTTACTTGGTTAAAGGAAGCTTAAATTTTTTTCTAGTCTTTATAATGCCCCCATTATACCTATTTTTTTCCTTTTAAAACCTAAGAAGGCTATTTATAGGCAGACCTACAAGCATGCACGCGTGCACACGCACTCACGTACTTTCTTGGGTTCTACCCCATTTGGAATATGCGTATGTGGCTGCAACTAACCCAACTTCATGGCACCTCAGGCTTTTACTGCATTTGGTTTAGTGCTGAGAGGGTGGAATTTATCAATTTCTGATTTGTCTGAAAGTGGGATCTTTCCTCGTTTGTTATTATGTTTATTCACTGCACACAGCCTTGGTCAGGCTGGAATATTGTAACATGTTGTTCATGGGACACACCTTGAAAAACATCTAGAAGTGTCAGCTCGTGTAGAAAATTGGCAGGCGGTGTTTGGCCTGCATCTCAGAAGGTGTGAGAGGAGTACAGCCTAAGGGAAGAAGAAGGAGGTAAAGGAGACACCTGAGCTTGCTCCCTTTGGCTTCCTCCTTCATACCCTGGGCTATGGGTTGCTCTGCAGGGTGTGAAGGAGCTTAATACTTGTCCTGTGTTAATATCATTTGTTGTTTTACAAATGCAGTTTAAAGTTTTTTTAAAAAAAACTTGGAAGGATTTATTTATGGAAATATGAGCTATAAATAATTGGAATAACAAGAATTAAGAACGGCTTATGAGGAATGTATTATGCTAGGGTTGAAAGAGGTACAGAGGCTGCTGCTTTGTCACCAGGCCCAATTTAAGATGAAGGCTTGGGCTGAGAAGGCTATAAATGGCCTGAGGAAGGGGTGATCTTTCACAAGTTAACATCCTTGTCAGGAATCCTTCCCTGAGACCTCCATGCTGTTTTAGGTTAGGTGGATGGCTGATAGAGGTGTGACAGAAATTGTGAGATTCATCCCTAACATACACAGGACCCACTGCTGCTGTCTTCTCAGTGCCAGACAGTTTTAAAATTTATTTGTCTTATTTTTGGGCCACTTTTCTCCTCATAGTTGAAGCCTTGTCTTGGGCCATCAGTAGTTCTCGATGATACCTGATCCTCCCCTGTGTTTTGTTTCCAATGGCTTTTGGTTTTGCAACGCTCATGTTCTGTGCTGCTGACTGTCCCTTTAAAAAAAGCCCACTGCTGACTACCTTGAGACAGTTTTATAACAGGAGAGATATAAATTCTAAAATTAAAATGCAGGCTGTGGAAGTGAGGAGGCATCCCTACTGTCCTTAGAGACACTAGCCTGTAACTTCATTTTTTTTTGTCCTTTTCCTTCTCCCTGTTTTTTTAAAAAAGGAAAGAATTACTTGGGGAAAGGTCGCTGCTTCCATATTCAAGCTTCTCAGGAAGGTGAATTTGAAGCAGAACCAGTTTTGAAATGGTTGGAGAAATTGGTAGAGAGTTCACAGAATTTTCTCCAAGCACCTCTTTTTGAAGAAAGGGAACTCCTCCCCTTTCTCCATCTTGGTGCAACATTTAGTGCAGTAACACAAGGCTGTTTCGTTCCAGTATCGAGGCCACTTCACCTCAGTACCAGTCAGGGGAAGGTTCTGCAGTGCATTTGAGCAAAACAGCTACCTGGAGGGCAGCACCATTGTGAGTGGAGAGAGAAAAGTTAAAACAGGATTTAGTATCTGAGTGACACAGCAAGACTGCTAAAAATGCTGGACCTAGCAAGGAAACAGGCATCATTTGTGCACCAGACAACCCTCAACAAACCACGACCTCCATTTGCCATGACTTGCTACTCCAGAAGATTCACTGGAGAGTTCAGTTGTAGGTCAAAGACTTGTGCTAGTATTAATCCTGTAAGAAAGCACCTTTAAATGATTGCTGCTTTGTGTACAGTAGTGAAGTTATTGGATGCTGGATACAATGGCTTCTAGAACTGGGTTGTTGCAGTGCAGGGTACAGCAAAAGGATAGTGATTTTTTTGTTGGCTCTTCAGTTAGCTCTGTGTAGTCAAAGGGCAGCTAACCTTTGTGGGAAATGGACTTGAGCATGGTTGCTTTTAGTTCCAGAGAACAGCAAAATGTTAACGACATACGGTCCCAATTAAAATGAACATCAAGCATTTGAATTGACAAAGGCAGAGAGGAAAGTCAAGGTTGGATTACTGCTGGTATTGCATTCTGGAATTTCCTTGTGCTTGGATGGGTGATTTAAAATGATGGCGAGGAGGAAATGTCAGAATGAAATACAGCCAGAAACTTATAGTGAAGACTGAGCCAGATATTTTTTTTGGGGGGGGGGGAATAAAGCATGATTATCATGAGTATGTAATGTTGAGCTATTGAGGACCAGAAGTGGTTGAGTTAAGAAACAATGGAGAAATGCTGCCACCCATCAGTTCATTTGCATTCAGTCAATAAACAAATAAAGGCCCAGTTTCAAACCATGGGTTTTCAATCTTTGTGATGGGTTTTGGGATGACTCCACTGGAAGCACATCTGTGGAAACACTTTTTTGGCATATGACGGCGGTTCCACTTATTGAAACATAGATCTGTGGTGTGGAGCATGGATTTTTGTTGTTTTCATCTGCTCTAGTACTCCTTCAGAAAAAGCTCTGTGAACAGCGCGCTCCCTGTAATGTATATATAGGCATTGTGAGTATCATTCTAAACACTATGAGCTGTGTAATGTTGCAACCAAGATCTCAAAGAAAATGCAAGTTGATCAGCCCTGAATTAAAAACTTACATTTTCCCCTTGCTTCTAAACTTCACAGTGCTTGAGAACATTTGCAAACTATGTTCGGTGCATGAGGGAAGAATTAAGTATGGAGCAGCCACTGACCTCACCACTGTTGTCTCTTCCCTGGCCTTCTGAGACAAACACCACCTTGATTATTCTCACAGTGCATTCATCCATTCTATATGTTTTTAAAGGCCGCTCTCACCATCTCTACACTTTCCTTTTCCTGTCCATCTTCTGGAACATTTTATAGGGTATTCTGCCATCTAGTTGCTTCATTTTCTGCTTGGCTGCTCATCTCAGCTTTGAAGGGCATTATGCTAAAAGAGGCAGCTTCCACTCTCCGTTCTTCTTTCACTTCTGTGTACTTTTTGAGAAAACTCCCTTTTTAATTTTGAATGAGTGTGGTGTAGAAGGTGGTGGTGATGTTGAGAGTGTGCAGAAGCTTTGTGGTGCCCTGGAAGGTCTTCTTGAGCATTGCAATGATTTTGGTGGTGGGTTTGACAGTTTGGTGTAGAAATCTTGTTTCAGATAGCTTTCATATTCTAAAGAACCCCAGTGAATTATCTGCTGTGTGATATATTTTATCTGTTGTAGTAAAACATGCATGATATGCTGCAGTTAATTGTGTTTCAGCTGACTGAATAGTAAGTTTCACAGTATATATCCACAGGGGAAAAAATACAAAGATAAGCCCAGAAGTCACTCCTTTGAGTGAGACTGCAATGTCAGATTATGAGTGACTGTTCTTGGACTATCTCCCACAGTATAGCTGAGAAAGTAGTATATTTTTGTGACATAAAATGAAGTGCCCTAGTTCTTGCTTCAGAATTAATTTGTTTGTACTTTCTGCCATTCTATGAAAAGAAATCTCTTTCTCAGACAAGAATTGCTTGTAAAGAAGTATTTTGGTCTTTTATAAGGGGAGTAGTTTAGTGGTCCAGATCCAGTGTTATGCTTCAGTATCCCGCACCAGGAAGACTGGTGAAGACTGAGCCAGATATTTGTCCTGCGAATGACTTGCAGGACAAAAAACTCGCAAGACGAATGGTTTTGGCAATGGGGTTGATGACTCGCAAGACGAATGTTCCTATGGCCATCCTTCGCAAGACAAATGTTTTCTGTCTTTTGTTCCTGCCTCATGTTTGTTGATTTTAAAATGTTTTCTATAATGTTAAAAAAGTTAACGTTTTTTTTATTGAAAGTTTTGAAATCATCTGCACAGTATGTATGGCTTTAAAGAGCACTTAATAAACACTTTGTAAACCAAATGTGACTTTGTTCTGACTTTTTTGCCCATAGGAATGCATTAATTAGATTTCAATGCATTCCTATGGGGAAAGGCTTTTCGCAAGACAACATTAACCGCGGAATGAATTAAATTTGTCTTGCGAGGCACCACTGTATCTTGGAAGAGACTGGGATTTTGAAGGGTATATTTAAAAAGGCTTTCATCTAGTACATCAACAAAAAACTGCCTTTCTCCCCACATACCACACAAGTGTGAAACTATCCAATGTTAACCTTAATATATTACAAGAGAGAGAGAGAGACCTTCTGTGATAAAAACAAGAATTTATCCGGGATCATCAACCTAGTCAAAACTTGATCACACCATGATCTGACTATAGAACTCTGTGTTTTTTTTGTTTTGTTTTTTGCTCCATTCTAAACAGGTTTCCACATTTGTAGTGGTCTTCTTGCTTCCATCCTGTTGTTGTGATTCCTAACATTGTCTTAATAATATCTTGAAAAGGATTTTTGTATAAAGTCATCCATACAGTGAGATGTATTTAGTGTCTAACCTGCAGCTGGATGTCTGTCCATAGACCTGAGGAAGTTTAGAAGTGGTATTTTGAAACTATGATCAGATTCCTATTGGTATTTTAATAAGTAATCATAGCTAGCAGCCAAGGTGCTAGGGCGTGTCTTGGTTGTGTGCCTGGTTGCCCAGTTGAGATGTACGCCAGTTAGCTGCAATTAGCCATGAAAAATTTTATGTGAATGCCATTAAGATTCCAGCCTATTTTTATGGTATTGAGTTGAGCATTCTAGGTTAAAGTATACCTGTGATTTAGCTTTTGCATGTTTAAATTTTTAAGGATGTAGATTTCTAAAGTATAGTAACACTTAGGGTTAGTTAGTTATTTATGTTAGGGCTAATAGAAACCTATAAATAAATCCATGGTGAGCATATTTGTGGGTAAGGAATGCAATCTCACGTGGTTTGGTGTGCAGCCAGAGGATTAGATAGATTGGTGGTGAACCCCTTTTGATTGCTGACTTTTCACCCTGGCAGCTATCTCCTGAGAATGCCTACGAGGTGCTTTGTGTCGCAGACATGTACCTGTTACCTGGACTCAAACGGCTGTGTGGAAGAGCTTTGGCACAGGTTCTGGATGAGGATAGTGTGGTCAGCATCTGGAAGACTGCAAAACTGTTCCAGCTGACCCGGCTGGAAGATCAGTGCACGGAGTATATGGCCAAGATAATTGAAAAGGTAATGGGAAAAGCTTCCTGAGTTACACGGGTGCGCTGTCAAATAGACCACACTTGTCTTTCTAAGGTCTTTCTTTTAAATACCTTGAACAACAAAGCCCTTTAAAGCTGGTGGATAGGTGATTGTTTCATTTTGTGAAGAATTAATTATTGTGATAGTCATATAAAAAAGAAAGTACATCCTGTTTGAATTCTATGGTTTTACATATCAAAACAAAATAAAAATAATCTAATCCTTAGCAGGTCTGAGAATTAGGTAAATACAACCTCAGAGGAACAACAAAATGTGTCATGATTTATTTAACAAAAATAAACTCAAAATGGAGAAGCCAGGTGTGAAAAACTAAGTACACCCTTACTGCTTCCATGGCAACTAAGAGGCTAAGTAGCAGCCAGGTGCTGCCAACCAATGCCCTTGAGTAATTGATCATCAACGGGAAGTGTGATCACCTCTCTAAAAGCTGAAGTTTTAGCAGTTTGCTGGTCTGGAGCATTCAGGTGTGTGTTAACACAATGCCAAAAAGGAAACACATCAGCAATGGTCCCAGAGAAGCAATTCTTGCTGCCTATTAAACTGGGAAGGGTAATAAGGCCATTTCCAAACAATTTGAAGTTCATCATTCTACAGTGAGGAAAATTATTCCAAAGTGGAAGGCATTCAGGACAGTTGTCAATCTTCCCAGGAATTGACATCCGATCAAATTCACCCCAAGGTCAGACCATGCAATGCTCTGAGAAACTGCAAAAACCCCCAAGGTTTAGACTGTGAAACTCTAAAGACTTCCATTAGCATGTTAATGTTAAAGTTCATGAGAGTAAAATTAGAAAGACTGAACAAGTATGGTGTGTTTGGAAGGCTTGCCAGGAGAAAACCTCTTTTTTCTTAAAATAATATGGCAGCACGGCTTAGGTTTCCAAAGCTGCATCTAGACAAACCACAAGGCAAATGTTACAGTGTCCTTTGGACAGACAAGATCAAAATAGAGATGTTTGGACATAATGCAAAGTGCCACATATGGTGAAAACCAAACACAGAATATTGGCACAAACACCTCATACCAACTGTCAAGCAATGAAAACCAAACACACAATATTGGCACAAACACCTCATACCAACCGTCAAGCATGGTGGTGGACGGGTTATGATTTATGCTTGTTATGCAGCCACAGGACCTGGGCACCTTGCAGTCATTGAGTCAACCGTGAACCTCTTTGTATACCAAAGTATTCTAGAGTCAAATGTGAGGCCATCTGTCTGACAGCTAAAGCTTTGAAATTGCATCATGTAGTAGGACAAGGATGCCAAGCATACCAGCAAATCTGCAACAGAATGGCCGAAAAAGAAAAGAATCAAGGTGTTGCAATGGGCCAGCCAAAGTCCAGACCACAACCAGATTGAAAGGCTGTGGTGGGACCTTAAGAGGGCTGTGCACAAACAAATGCCCACAAACCTCAATGAACTGAAGCAATGTTGTAAAGAAGAGTGGACCAAAATTCCTCCACAATGATGAGTCATACAGGAAATGATTGTTTCAGGTTATCATAAGGTGTACTTCATTTTCTACGCATAGTTTCTCCATTTTGGCTTTATTTTTGTTAAATAAATCATGACACGGTGTATATCATGTGGTGTTGTTCCTCTGAGGTTGTATTTACCTAATTTTCAGACTTGCTAAAGACCAATGATTTTTATTATGTCCTCATAATATAAAACTGTAGAATTCAAACAGGGTGTACTTTCTTTTTCACATGACTGTTGCTCCGTAGCAGGGCACAGGCTTTATATTTTACTGAGATGGCTGACTCCATTTGCATCTCTAGCTAAAAGAATCTGGTAGCGGATAACAAGAAAGAAAGAAATAGTGCTGAGCCGCTTGAACAAGAGTTGGATTAGCAAGTCAGATTGTTACAGCACTAATATTTCTTGTCATATCTGTAAAAAAAACAGTCATTTGTCTTAATTAGCAACTGTTCAGGTATGGCCACTTTTAATCACATTAGAGAAACCCCATAAAAAATGAAAAGATCCCTTGATTATAAAATTCCTCACATTTTAAGTTCCATGATTTAAAATTCTTTGGCAAGATTTAAAATTTCACTGCTCCAGATTTCTTGAGGACTTTGCCCTTACGGTAGTAAACCATAGTAGATCACTGTTGTTCAGATTTGATGTAGCCTAGTGGATGAAAGTGTAGTGAAGGGAAATCCTTTGCTTTAAAACACATCCGCACTAAAGGAATTTGTTGACCTTGGAGACGCAACCGTTTTATCTGCTTCAAGCCCCTTCGTCCAAATATAGGAATGAACTACAGGACAATTTTGGTAGAAGAATGTATGAAGTATGTTGAAGTCCTTAAAATAAGCAATAGAAATTTTGATGATTAAAAAAAAAGTTTGAGATAGTCAAACCCATTTTAGGCAGGCTTTTGACCTGCAGAGTTGTATTAGTCACCTGAATGTGTCTGAGTCAGTTATGTGACTAATTTACTTAAGGAGGTGCAAGGGTTTTCAAATGTAGAAGAAAGATATGAAAGAACTCAGAATCTTAAGCAACCCCATCATGTGGTTACACTGTGGGAGAAGAATTTCCCATACACATCAACTTCTGTCATTTATGCGTCACAACACATTCATTCAATCTACTGCTGATTTGACATGTGGCAAATGATGGTCCTGGTAATGTCTGTGAAGATACACTTGCCTAGTTATCAGTATAGAAGACATATCGGACTGTACGGGTTATTCTTCATAAGGGCTGGTTAAAGCTACAACCTTGTGAAGGAAGAAAGATTGCAGCATAGTTTTTTAGCGGTATGACTACATGCAGGCATTGATCATACACAGAGCACATTCTGCCTCTTGTTTTATATCTGAGATATTTTATACTTTCTTCCTAATTATGGTATATGTATAAGCAAGCAAATACATACATACATACATACATACATACATACATACATACATACATACATACATACATACATACATACATACATACATACATACATACAGGTTGTGTATCTGCATATATAATCATACTGTACTATATTATCTGTTCCAAGAGGAGAGCAGAGTTCCTGCTTTCCATTGCATTTCATACTTGGCTACTGTAGGATGGACAGACCCTTGTGGAAGGACCAGTTTTGCTTCTGCTAAGTGTTTTGGAGCTCCGTCAATTCACTGATTTTTATAAATGGCTCTCATTAGCACTCCCACATAAGTGTCAGCGTTCCTTACTTAACAGGCTTTGAGAGAGGTGTGAAATCTGAAGAAATTCACTAGAGAAAATAATCTATTAACAGGTCCTCTTATACAAAAGTTCCTCTTCTCCCCTCCTCAACTAAGTATAAACCCAATTTTCTTTGAGCTGACTCAGGCCCAGAATGTAGGCATCCTTCAGTCTCGAGAGAATATGG